TCAATGAACAAGAGGCCGAGAAAACCTCACAATCAACCCGGAGGAAAAACTGGGGTCATTACCCAGCTTAGGCTTATGTTGGAAACTGAGTCCAGCGTCTCATACTTCTCTTCACCTGTCTTCTACCAAAAACTCATGAAGCACCGACTGGTATTCCCAGCTCCTCAAGCAAAAGAAAAGGTAATCTATCACTATGTCCAATAATGTTCCAGGGATCAATCCCTTACTTCGTTCCATGAGAGTCTATCTGCGACTCCCCGTCCCTATATGAGACTTCACCTATTCTCCTACACTATGGCCCCCTGAAATTCAATCCTTAGGCCCTAAGCCATGGGCCTATCTCCATCTTTAGTTCAGTGCTAACTGTAGATAACCGGTAACCAATCGCCCAAGTCGTCGAAAACCAGATCTTGCCTTTTTTCTGCCAGTCTGCCCACATTATGTTCCTTATCTCTGCTTTAACCGTATTCTCCGTCTGCTTCAATGACCAATGCTCGTCCTTAAACAAGGCATCATTCCCGGCCTGCCACAGTATCCTCATACAGATGCCTCTACAGGTCTGGGCCACATATCCCCAACCTCTATCATACGGTTACAGCTTTTTTGCTACGCCAGTCAGAATCCACGAATCAGTCCACTCAAAGGCCTGTTCTGGGGGTTGGGCTGTGATACTCCCCCAATGGCGTTTCCACCATTGCCATAATCTGATTGAAATGGGGCAGTGTATCCACAGATGTACTGTAGACTCCCAGGCCCACCTTCACAGTGAGCAAGTCTGAGAGACCGTCATACGTCTCGAGGCCAGCCAGGTGGCTGAGGCCACTACCTGCAATGATTGAACCCATAACAGAGTTGCGGTCTTCTGGTTGGTCATACACTTCAATTAAGCCCAGAGGGATCTTAGATCATCTGTTGATAACAGATTCGGACAGTAATCATTCCACCGCTTAAGTGTCAGTGTGGCACGTGTTTTTGCAATCTTAGCCCGCTGTTGTTCTCTCCCTACCTTTGATGAGTAGAAGGGTAACGGTATTTGCTTTGTTTCCCTTCCTTTCTCCGTCCATCCGTATAGATAGGACTCAATCTTCAATATTGAACTGAGA